TCTGAGTGAAATTCTTATGTAAGACGAGAGAAGGAAATGCAAACTAAAAAAAAAATTTATTCTTTAGAAAATGAAAAGAAAAATTTTCACATGTCAAAAGAATATTCTTAAAAAATATTTTCTGTAGCATGGTATTGAAAAATGAAAATAAAATTTAAAAATAGAAGATTAAATTCGAATCCCCCTTTCTACCACTTTGGACAAGTTATGTAACAACTCTAAGTCTCAGTGTCCTTATCCATAAAATGGGTTCAAAATCAATGTTCTAAATAATTCACATGGCTTTTTTGAAGATTTGATGCGTTAAAAGTTTATCAAAGTACTTTATAAACTCAATCAGTATTGCCTAAAATTTGCTGACAATAAAAATTGCCTGCTAAGGCTTCATTTGGTTTTAGTTTGTTATTTATTTGTATGTTTGCTTTTAAAACGTATTATATGATCCTACCTGAAGTCTACTGAGACAGAACTTCAAGAGTGGGGCTTGTTAATCTATCTTTCTAAAAAGTCAAGTTTCTCGATTTTCTATTTCTCACTAGTTTTAAGACTGCTTGCTCAAAATCTATCAAATACATATAGTATATTTTAAAAATTGTATTTCCTAATATAAGCAGCTCTGTGGAGTCAAGTCAGTATTAATAAGATTTGGCATACAAAACTTAATTCAGTCAATATTTTTCAATTGGTATGTTTCACGAGATAACACAATTCTGAGGCCAAACCTACAGGACAATTTTGAAGAACATCATTTACCTTTTGAATCTGTCATTCTTCTGTATACCTTTTCTTTTATTTGTCATTTTATACTCATGAATAGGAAGCCAGGTCCTGTTATCCAAATAACTGGATTGATTTACACTCATTCATCTAAGTACTATGCCTCTTAAATATTTTAAGTAATGTCATATAACACGTCAGCATATTCTGAAGTGGACATTTGGAAGTAATACTGAATGCTAAAGAATGAACAGCAAAAACCGAAGCTTTTCCAGTTAATAAGAGGCACCATTTTTGAGCTTTTTATACCATGCTGTTTAGAAAGTAGTCTCTCTTTCACCTGCAGGAAAGATGACTTTCAACCAGTCTGAGAGAAGTTACTGAGGAAGGAAAACAAACAAACAATGACCAAAAAAGAGAGAGAGAGAGAGGAAAAAAAGGTTACTGGGAAACACGACAGCAGCAGAATGCCCAAGTCCATCTCTGAAGAAGTGAACTGATTTTTTTACCTCTTATCTGACATGTCTGTGCAAGGGTGATGATGAAGTAGCTGGGAAAGAACCGGTACTTAAAGAAAAAAAGGTCCTTGTTGACCAAACACAGATCTTGATTTCAACATTGTTGCTTAATATTTCTCTACTGTCTTTTCATTTCCAAAATGTCCTTTGAAAGAATTGAATTAACAGGAGTCGTGAAATGACTAAATGATATCATAATAAAGTTATCTTGGTTCATGCAGAATTATAGAACTGTAAGGTGGTGGTTGTTATTACTAGAGGTAATATTACAGCAGTGTCACTAGCATCATCAGTATTATCTGCAACCTGGGGCAGGGGAGCAATTTAGGGTTAAGAGCTAGATCTATTTCCCATGCAAAGAGCATGTGTCTTTATGGGCTGTCTGTTGAACAAAAGGCCTTTGACTGTAGCCGAGCCTGAGGCAATACTTTCATTGTGCTCCTGCTTTCTATGCCTGAGCCAGGTGCTGGCCTTGACGTCTCCTTGCTTGCTGTGAATTCCCAATTGTTTTCTGCATGACCTTGCTCAGCTACCTGGGAAGGCCCTTCAGTAAGTCCTTGCTCTGAAAAGTCCATCTTTTGCTTAGATGGACTTCAGATTTTTATTGAGTGATATTTTGTGTGTGTCGTACAACCTCAACGTCAGGATTTCAAATCACCCATAGTAAATTTTCAAGTCAAATTTATGTTCTAGTTGCTTTTAAATTATCTTTCCTTGACCTCACATGATATCCTATCAAGGAATACAAAACCACTTTAGTATTAGTGTAATACTAGAAATTGGGAGTGCAAATCCAATTTTAAAAAACAAACAATAAAACATAGTTCACCCAGAAACTAATTTTAAAAGTTTGGTATTACTGTAATATGAATATGCCTTGTCATATATAATGGAGTACATCAGAATGACAACAAAAATCATTTTATATCTTTGGAGTAACTTTTTCTACTACTATTCCTGAAACCATAGTGGTTTTCACAATGTTTTTCCATATAATCATCAATTAAATTTGATTGAAATCTAACAGTGATTCAAACTTTAATTAAATAAATATTCATTGAGCTTACTATATACAACCCAGCTACTGCTAAAATGTAAAGGTCAATAAAACACGTATTTCTTTTTTATGAGGTTCTTACTCATAATAAGAGAGTAAATGTGTGTTCACAAATAACCATTTAAAATTGATTCTATGAAGGAGTACTATACAACTGTAAAAAGGAATGACAACTATATATGAAGTGGGGAATGATCTTCATGATATATTGTATGCTTTTGTTCATGTAATTAACAGGGAAATTTGAATATATGTAAATATTTGTTTATATTAAAAATTAGAAGAATTAAATCAAAACTATTAAATGTCATTATGTATGGGAGAGAACAGAATGATTGTGTGTAGAAATAGATGGGCTATTATTAATGTACTTTGTTTTGAAATTTTATCTTTAAAAAATGTAAATATTTCATAAAACTAGAAAACAAAATTGAATCTAAAAATCAATTTTTTTAAAATAAAAATAAAAGTAACAAATTTGCTTAAATGATTGAGTTGGTGGCATAATTACACCGAAACCATCTCAAAGGATATTAAAAAGCAGTCATCTAATTGTATATTCCTGGGGACATGTAAATTAAGAAAAAGAAACTGCCCCAAAGTATGTAAATATTATGAATTTTCAGAAACTACATCGTTAGTAGTAATGTTAGCATTGTTATTTTTTTTTATGTGGTTATTTTGGCTTCTATCTTATGCTTTTTTCCCGTTAACACCTTTACTAAAGTATAACTAACATAAAATAAACTGCGCACACTTAAAATGTATGATTTGATAAATTTTGATACATGTATATGCACACTTGAAACCATCATCACAATCAGGAAAATGAACATATCCATCACTCCAAAAGTTTCCTCCTGTTTCTTTTTAGTCTCTCTCATTTGCACCTCTCTATACCACCTCTTCCAATCCCAAGAAAACACTAATATGCTTTTTATCCCTACAGATTAGTTTTTATTTTCAAACAAATTCCACAAGTGAAATAGTACATTCTACATTTTTGGGGGGGGCAGGGAGAAATATCTGGCTCATTTATCATAAGATTCATATATATATATGGTTGCATTTATCAATAGTTCACTCATTTTTATTGTTGAACAGTGTTCCATTATGTAGCTATAACATAATTTATTTATCCATTACCTATTGATGAACATTTAGGTTGAATCCAGTTTTTTGGCTTTTATAAATAAAGCTATTATAAAAATTTACATACATGTCTTTGTGTAAACATATGCTCTCATTTCTTTCAGGTAAATACCTAAAAGTGGAATGACTGGGTCGTATGGTAGGTATATGTTTAACTTTTAAGAAACTATTTGTTTCCCAAAGCAGTTGTACATCAGTTGTACATTTCACATCTCCACTAGCAGTATAGGAGAGATCTAGTTCCTCCATATCCTCACCAACATGTGACATATTAAAACTTTTTAATTTCACTCACTCTAATAGATGTGCATGGCATCTCATTATGGTTTTAATTAGCATTTCCCTAATGACTTGGAAAATGTCCTCAATGCCTCTGGTTGCTTTGGGTGGTAGGCATCCCTGAAATACATTTGAGCACTTAAATATAATGATCAACTAATTCTTTTAACATACCTGGGCACACTCTTAATACAATTAATATTGCTCGAAACAAAAATGTAATGGCAGCAAATTCTAGTGGCATTACATTTCCAAGGCCATTGCTCCAACTGTGATAACACAGAACACCTCCATGTAGACACTCAAGTACTGTAAAAAATGGCTGATTAGCCTGGTGGTGGATTCCACAGTTCTCGCTCACTTTAGCTTTGGGATCCCCAACCCATGGGCTGCAGACCAGTACTGTGGCTTGTTAGGAACTGGGCTGTCAAGCAGGAGGTGAGCAGCGTGCCAGCAAGTGAAGCTTCATCTGTATTTGCAGCTGCTCCCAAGCACTAGCATCACAGCCTCAGCTCCACATCAGATCAGCAAACATTAGATTCTTATAGGAGCTCCGGTACCTGGTGCCTAAACGTTTGGGGACCACTGCCTTAACTGGTGTCTGATGGGAACACTACGGATGTCCTGGCTTTTTCCCACTCTCTGCCTTTTTAAGAAGAAATATGACTTGTATTTCCACACCATTTTACTAACTAAATCTATCCAGTGCAAAAATATGGGGAAAAAAAAATAAAGGCAGCGATCTAAAATAGGTAATGAAAAAGACTAAAATAAGAAATAAGATGATAAAAGAGAAAAAAAGAAAGTAAAGAATAGTGATAGAAAATAGTTTTAAAAAAGTAAATACAATAGAAAAATATAACTATGACATGGAAGGGAGAAGTCAAAGAATGTGGCCATGATCCTCTTTATGACTCTAGCAAAGGCAATCGACGAGGACTCCCATCAGGTGAGTGGTGTAGGGTCGAGGGAAGACTGTGGTACCGTGAAATCCTTTCACTTACCATCTGTGTTAACTTGAGTCAATCACCTAAGCTTCTTCAGTTTCAGGTTTTGCTTCTGTATAATAGGGATAATGATAATTGGCCCAGATGGTTGTTATGAGAATTAAACTAAATAAAATAAGATATATAGAAGAACTCGGTGCTCAATTACAAATGTTCCCTAATCTATGTTAGGAGATCTATTAGGGAAACGTGAAAGCTTAGAAAGAAGTAAGAGAAGCCTTTTTACAGAGTCCATTGGCAGAAAGTTTGAGTTGAAATCCGTTGGGCAAAAGCAGCAATTTATTCATGTCTTACAAACATAGTCTTACAAACATCGTACAGAGCTGGCACGAAAGAACAGACACCATCTCATACACCATGCTTCCTTCCAAGTCACTTCTACTGAGTTACAACATCAGAACAAGTCAGTTACTGAATTACACAGTTTTTCAAACGTGAATACTTCCCCATTAGGGTGGTGAGATTGGCTAATCAGACAAGTAATTTACATGTTTAATACAGTGCAGGATTTGTAACAGAATTCAAGATATTCACACTGATATTGTAATACATAATAAAACAGTACAATTTTCAGAAGATGATGGGATCACTTACGTCCCTGCCTGTTTCAATTCTTTTTTAGTTTTTCTTCTTTCTTTCCTTTAACAGCAGTTGCAAATAATTTTACTCAACTTTTCACACTCAATAACACTTTAAATTGTAAAAACTAAAAACTATTTACAAATTAGTCACTGTAATTTAAAAAGTATTTGTTGTTGGTTTCGCTGTTCTGCTTAAAAAATAAAATTACCCTCCTTCAACAATTGTATTTCAGTTGATACCACCATGAACTTCTCACAGCTATGAAGGATACTTAGGGTGGATGCCTCACAACTTTTCAGAGCTCCAAAATAAATTACATTCTATGGCCCATGTACCAAGTACATATACATAAAAAGGCCATCGACTTCCCCAAATCACACACTGACTGCAATTAATTTTATGCTCCTTTCATAGGAATGTTGAGCAGACCAAGATGCTGTGGGGTTTTTTTGTGGTGGAATGAAGACAATGATTAGGGAATATTCTTTTTAATCCCAAAGTTATCTTAAAACACAAAAAAAGAGGTTGATTTCAGTTTTCCTACCTATAGAATGTAAAACATTTTCTTTACATTGGGCATAGTCATAAAAAGCGTGTATAAGTTGTTTTGAAAATGCATTGTCATAGAATTTACAAACACGGAGATATCAAACACATTCTCAAAAATCGCTAAAGTACTGACACAAAAGCTGACTCAAAATGTAAAATTTTCAGTAGACTTTATTTTCTAACTTGCATATTTAATAATTCAATTGTACCCGAGTTTCACTCATACCTAACTAAAAACTCAAATATAGTGACATTACCTCAAGTTAATTCTTTCCAAATAATCACAGGGCACTGCTTTACTCTAATGGGTTTTTAATGAATTTCAGAGCCCTGGAACTGGAAAAACGGTAAAAGACACAAGTCTATATAAACTGTTCCACAGAAAACAGCTCAAGACAAATTAGCCTAGAAAAGATAGTGAGACATACTTTATTGTGCTAATTTGACAGCCTAAATATATTTCATGTGGACATATGTAAATTATATTAGGCTTGCTTAGTTTATTGGTTTAAATAATGCTTTCTGTCTGGCATGGTTAAAACTTCAGTCTTTTTGTTTGTTTTCAAATAATAGCTTAATCTTTTCTGGGGGAGAACAACTAAAGGAAGACTTAACTTCGATAGCCATGCCCTCTCTATGTGCAAGGAAAAGCCTTGAATGTATACTTGCATACTATACATATTTCCTAGAAGAAAACTGCATCTCTAACTGGATTTCTAGCTGAAGTTTATTTCTTTACCCACTAGCTAATTTAACAACTTCACAAAGGTAAATGGGGCTTTCTTAGACCACACTGACGCTTGTGACAGGCAGTGAATAATTCAAGGCCATGGTTCTTATGTGAGGTTATATTTTACAACATTTTGACTCACATATAATCCTAGGGGGGAGAAAAATCATATTTCTACCACAGTGTTCTCAACTAAGCCCTTTAATAAAATGATTTCTCAGTTTATTCACTGTCCTTTTGAAACAAACCTATTTCTCTTATGATAACATTGTATCAAATAATTACAAACCAAAGAGAAATGACCATATACTTTTATATGCAGGACACCATTTGTACATGACATAACTAATAAAAACAAACTAGAGAACACTTCTAGAATATCTTTGGATTTAAAGAAAAATTGATTTCCCCACCTAGAGAAAAATGGATGAATTTTCATAAGTGAACACATGCTTTTGATTTCTAAATCCTAACAATCACGTTGCCTTCCAGTGACATATTCCAGTGACATCATCACTTTCTAAACCACACCCCTAACCTGGGATCGCACTGCAGTATTTATAAAATGCTTGACTACTCATATTTATAGCACTGGTAACCTGCACAGGAAATCACTATTTTATGAAAATTTATCCAACTTCTCTATTTATCCAACTTTCACTATTTTATGAAAATTTATCCAACTTCTCTAGTAAAGGGGGAAATTATCATGATACACATTTACAGTTACTTTCTGGTCAGCTAATTCAATCCATTTCTAACAACAACAAAAAAAAGGTAGCTTGCTGTCACAAGCTAGTAATCACATATCAGAAAGAAAGAAAATTGTTCCTCTCCTAGTAAAATCATCAAGTTCCAACTCATAGTCAGGATGCTAACCATCACAGAGCATATGCCACTTGGCGATTTGTCTCCTGGGATAGTCACAGATCTCCTTCCAGTGCTCTCCTCCGGTTCCTTCTGCTGCTGCTCCCAGAACCAACCGCCCAATTACCTCATTGCGGGATCCCCTTTCGGAATCCAAAACCAGAAATTCAACACTGATCTCTTCAAGACCCTCACAAGGAATATCAAAAACAAATAATTCATTGAACACTGCATTGGGGGTGCATTTCTTCACATGAGTCTTCTTTTTGGAGATTCTCTTTTTGGCATGGTACAGGTTCACTTTGACATAGGGATCTGCAATAGGAAGCAACAGACAGTACAGTGACAGAATCCAGCTGAAGAACTGACCTCAACATTATGGTGCCCTTAGAGATTACTACATGCCAATAAAATGTGATTAAAATAAAAATGAGGCAGAAAAAAGTGAAAATATAGAAAAATCTTGGCTTCTCTCTTGTCAACAAACTGAAAATAACTAAGAAGGCAACAGAAGAGAAAACAGTTCTAACCCAGAGGATGGGGAAGAAACTGTAATAACAGGCTAAAGAGATGACATAATGGAGAAGAAAACAGAATGTTCTGATGACATTCTGATTACTAATAACTCATTCCAGAGAATGGGATAAATGAAAAAAAAGAAAAAAAAATCTAAACTTACTGAGTTGTATGACTTGGAATAAGTCTTTTTCCTCTAAGTTTGGGCAACTTTTTTCTGAATGGGCATTTACGATTCACAAAGGTAATGCCCTTTTTGGCCTTAACTTTTCTGTGCTTCTTTAATCACCTTCTGGGTTTGCTTCCTATTTCTCAGTGTTGACTTTCCCTGTGTCACCCTTATTGTGTGGATTTTAGGATCACATCGCTTTATCACACATTTAATTATATTATTTTTGCCTTTTTTCTGGTTGCAGCACATGAGCTAATTTTAGCTCCCTAATCTAAACCTTTAAAGACTATGGGTTTAATTTCTATTATCAAATAATAATAATAATAATAATAATAATAATAATAATAAAATAGAACTAGATAATATTTAATGAACTATATTTTTCTAGTTCTCATAATCCAACTCAAGGTAAATACTATTATGTACCCAAAGTTACTATGCTAAGAAAGGGTTAGGATTTAACCTCAGATAATATTAATCCATAGGTTATGTGTTCTTTCTCATTATGCTATACAAGGTTTTTTAATTAGTCACAAAATAAAAAGCTAATTCTTAAAGCAGTTACATAAGAAATTAGAGAAAATAAAAAATAATGGAACTGTAAGGGTAGGCGGTTCATTTAAAATACTAAAATTAAGAACTTTTCTCCCAAACGTTAATTTTATACCCATCACTGTATTTTTGGCAATGGCCCCTCATCTCTGCATTTATCACTGTTTTCTGCTCTAACTGTATTCATACATCTACCAAGTACTAGCTTTGGCTTAGATCATAGAACTATGTAGTTTTCTTTTTCTTGCTAATGGCATTGGCTCATATTATTATTCCATAAAATGAGAAACAGAAAAAAATCGCTTCACTTGTGATAGTGAAAAAAAGTAAATCAAAATCACGATTATGTTAGTTAACTATTTTGTCCAATGTATTACTCACTTATACACTGAACCTGATTTTTTCAGAAGCATTCTTACCTGAGAGTCCAGACACATCAGATTTAGGCAGGTGTCGAGCTTTTAAAACAACCACAGTGAGAGTATTTGTGGTGGACTGGTAGCAGAGAGAGATCAGTAACTCACCCCGTCCTGAAGACTTCTAAACAAAGAGATATGTGATATAAGTATTTTTTTTTTAGTTTTAAAATTTGTACTTATATTAACATTTTAAAGCAATATAATACCATTGTAATTGAAATGTAATTTTTCTACTCGTTATTTTAGCATGCCAAAGAATCCAAGAGTTAAGTACGAGCTTTTGCGCAGCACCATCTCCTAAAAACAACTGCCTGCCATCTTGTGGCCCGCTTAGGTACTACAGGATCTTAAAAAATGTAATGAGTTAGCCACACCCATTACAAGAAACGTTTAAAAGGGTAGACTACAGCCTACATAGAGGTATTTTTAACTTTTGATTTTTAAATTAAATCTATACTTTTGAAGTTATTAATAATAACAAAAATTGTCTAGTCCTCTGAATGAATCTATAGGGCAAAACGACTCATGTTAAGTTTGATTTAATTTCAAGTTCTTCAGCACTGATATTATTGGAATTTGAATTCGGGCCAACGGAAATTTATTCTGACCCCCACCACTCTCCTGGCCAAGAGGACTGAGGGAGTTAAAATTCTCTGCCACCAGCCCCCACCCAAAGTCCTTATTTAATCCAAGGAATGAATTATTGGGAAATTTACTCAATATTTAATGCTTGATGTTTAGACAGTATCACAGGATCCTTCTTTACATGATACTTAGGTTTTATTTGTACTTTAAAGACATTAGGTAAGATTACCAAGAATTCAAGTACAAGTTTTAACTGAAAGTAACAAAATGTAAACTTTGTTTGATTATAACTAAGAATGGGCCAGAGATCCTAAAACTTCAATATATATTTATACAAAAGCTGATATGGGGTAGCTGTATGAATAAGCTTTCCAGGAAGAATAAGAGTAGGGCATTGATCTGTACTCCCACAGTCCCACTGAACAGCGGAATATCTCAAACGAGCTACTTAATGTTTCTAAACCTTGACTTCATTAATTTCAACAAAGAGACAAAGGCAACAATGAGCTTTATGTTATTCTATAAAATTATGCTTTATAGTCACAAGTTATTCTGAAATACCACAATTGAAATCAAGAGTTCTGTATTTGAAGTGAAAATAGGATTAAATTTGATTAATTGATGTCTTATCGTTTTCTAATAATCCCAGAACTACCAAAGTAGTATAACTATGAAGACAGAGTAACTCATTTCCTATTATATAACATGAAGATGAATATTTATAATTCAATATGATGTGATGTCTCCTCTTTGAAAAGCAATTATATGAAAAGTCAATACAACTTCCAAATCCTCAGGATGAATTGATTTAATTTTAAATTTCAATTTCAATTTCAAATTAAATTATGCTGACCTTGAAACATCTTTGTTAACTTGCTTATGAATAAAAGTATTTGCCTGCATTTTAGTTTAAGTGGAAGCTTAGTCAAAATACTTGTGATAAAAATTAATAAAAAATATTTAAATAAATGATATTTAAATATCTAAAAGGACATCTATTTTATATCATTAAAATACTTTAAGCATTTCAGTCATGGGTTAAATTTTTTTCATCTACTTTATTCCTCTTCTTCCCATTTGATTATATTAATAATAATTAAACATGGTAAAGATAATATGTACAAAACTTATCATCTTAATGAAAATCCCTTAGATACAAAATAGCTACATAAAAGATTGTTTATAAATACTTTAAGCACTAAAAATGAATTACCCTAACATTTCTCTTGATAATCTCTCTGTTCATTAACATTTTTCCATCAGACAACTCAATTCCTGTGAGAGGAATAAGGACTTCTCCAATGATATCATCTCTTGAAAACCTGTCAAAACTCAAGATTGTGAAGTGCAAGGCCAATTCTTGGATCTGGGTGTAGGGGATCCCATAGAATGTAAAGGTCTCATCAAAAGCTGGGTCCAAGGTCTTTCTTAGAACTCTGGTTTTCACTTTATGCTTCTTCTCTGGGAGGATCGTCATTTTGATGTATGGGTCAGAGGTCATCGACTGCTCATCCATGGCGGGCAAGCCACGGGCTTCCTTGATATTAACCACAAATGCTTTCTTCTCAAAGTTGTACTCTAAGGAGAAGAAGAGGGTTCCCAGTTTCTCTTGTTTCTCTTCTGAACTAAGGGACGTGCTGGACTTTAAGCTATCAGGGGAAACTGCATCTTTTTCTCCTTCTGAAAAGAGCTTCGGGGTCATATTCTCCAGATCAGAAGGGCTGCCAGCTTTGTTTGTTTTGGGGAAATTGCCATTGAGATCTCTCTTCTCAAGGTCAAGATGCAATGAATTCTTTGGCACAGCTGGTTTATTCTTTACTTCATTTTTGTCATCAGCTCCAAACTTCTTTTTGCTATTTAGGTTTTCAGGGTAAATATCAACTCCCTTTAGCACATGCACAAACTTATATGGAGGAGTCTTGTTAGATTTGGATGATTTTCTCTGACAGCAGATCCATGCAAACAGAGAGACTGTGAAGACCAGGCCAAAGGCACTGAAGATCCCCACAACTGTGGGGATTTCATCTGAAAAAATCAAATGACCAACAATATACATTAAATGAGCAGAGTTGGAGATAAAAGCCTATGTGAAAAGCATACTAGAGCTGGCAATTGTTATAGGTTGCACAGAGTAAATTACTTTCTAACTGTTTTGTATATGAGTTATGTATACATTTCACATCACCTTTAGGAATAAACACATTTTCTGTGTGACACACATGAAAAAAATATAGTATGAGAGAAACTTTACCATTTCAGTAGTTTTCCATAAATAAAATAAAAAGATGAAACTATATCTGGGTCAGGGGTGAGGATGCTAAAAAACCTTTGACCTACCTTTGTTTTCTCAAATAACACGAGCCAACGATAGCATGATGGGTCAGTACTAATTTCATTATGTTTTCATTGACATTTTGAGGCTTTCAAGAAGCATTAATTCTTACTGACTATGGGACTTTAAATGCACATTCTTCAAATACTGAAAGATTCTGTATTCTTAGTAGTTCCTTATTTACCCAGGATCCATGCAGCAAACATCTAGGGACTCAGTGATTTAGATAATTTAAAAAATTGTGGAACATTATCTGCCATTATCATAAACTCATTAATAATTTCCATCCAAATTATTAAATAGTGGTAAAAGAAATGCACATATATTATGAGAAAAAAGAACAAAACAATGAACAACAGGATATTAATAATATGTAATTTATAACACTACAAACTCCTTGTATACTATCTAAAAATTTCACAAACACTTAATTGTTCAAAGTACAAATTAATTACACCTAAATAAAATAAAAACTGAACAATAGCTACAAATAAATCATCATTCCTTAACATGTAATGAGAAGAGTGAATATAGATAATTTAGAGTTCAGTTTTATTCATAACTGATTTTTTCCTAGCACATTTCCACATGGCAAATAGTAATCAAATTGAAATTGGCATTCTTTCCTTCAACAAGGGTCATTAAATTACTGTGATTAGGTAACATTGATTATGCATGAAGCTTATCATGTTCCATATGTAAGTACATTTCTCCAACAAATGATTAGTAACAACTGTGTAAGTAAACGCAGTATTGCTATATCTATCCACGATGCATCGATTGAGTCAACTTTTAACATAGCCAAAGTGAATATAACTAATGTAATATTATCTTCATTTAGTTTCATTTCAATCTATTTTTCATCACAAATAGTGAATAACAAAGTTAAAACTCCCAGTCAGGAAAGGGTTAAGGTTCATTTAAATAACCCCTGGAATAATAGTCTTTTGTTATTCCCTTCCCCATCCCCCCAAATCTTCTGCCTATCTACTTTGTAATCACAATACTAAACTCAAAGACTATCAGATTAAGAAATGACAAATAAGAGCAGAAGTGTCTAAGAAGATAAATAAGCAAACAAAACAAAACAATAAAATAATTTGTAGTTTTATTATATCAAGAAACTAAATCATATAGAGATAAAAAATAAACCTTTGAATTCCTCAAATAGAAAAAGCAGTGAATGCCACAGGAAAAGAATGAGGTGAGAGCTAAAGCTCATCAGCTAAACTTAGTGTCAGCTTTTTACCTTTCTTTCTATTCAAGTCTTTGTGGAGGGGAAAAAAATTCACTCTTGGACTAATAAAACAAGGCCAGGGAGCAAAAGCAAAGTCATGAACTAATGCAAGAAAAACAATAAAAGCAATAGAAAATGATTTTTGTTCTAAATTGACTGATGGCCCATGCTAGAACATATTTTTCACTAGCATGGTCACTGAAAATGCTTCAATGTTAGAAAATTTCTGACTTTCAGATCAAAAATTAGGAATAAACATCACAACAATATAAACTCAATTACCTAAGTGGAAGGCTATGAAACTCATCTCTGAATATAATATCATGAATTGTTTCTATTCGATATTTATGTCAAATGGTGAAATATCTAATATACCATGGAAAGACTCACTTACCTATTCCCAGTATATTCTCTACCGATAGGTCTTAAGCTTTTGAGAGCAAAGTCTCCATCATTTTACTTAGTTTAATAATAATTATCATGTATTTGTAGGCAATATTCCTTATTTACAAACTTCTGTGAAATATTTTTTATGAATACTTGTAAAAGTAAGTAAAACTCTTATATCTTGCCTTTGAAATATAATGAGACATAAATTGTGATTTTTGTTTGTTTGTTTGAAGAAGTACATCTGATTTTATTTACTAAAAGAGAAAAGAAAAGCAATGGTGCCAAAAATTAGGTATAGGAAATGGGTAATTTAATTGGAAAAATGGAGTCTTAATTCTAGTTTCCCGTCTCTTTTAGTTAACTATTTGACCTGCAACACTTCCCTCTTCCTCTGAGCTTCAGTTAGCTCACCTATGAAATGAAATGGACTCAGCTTGTTCATTTCAAATATACCTGTAACTGTATCTAGCATCATAGGATTCTGTCTCTTTCACTAGCAACATATTTCCAGGTTACAATAAAAACATAGCAGAGAAAACGTCCTCATGGTACACTCTGTAATAAAATATACATCTCGAACCCTCGACATATAAATTGTATTATGCCAAGATCAAATCCTTATGTAATCACAAGGACATTTGGCTTCCCCTTAGTGAAATACAGATTTACCTACAAATAAAATCACCTATAGGATTAATGAAACCAACAAACAGACCTCTTTTCCTTTACTTAGTGCGCACTGCAATTTACAGAGCTATACTTGAACGTTTAAGGAACTTCCGGGATGTAAAATAGCCCTAGCAGTAGGCAATTTTAAGAAGAAAGATACTAAGGAAGGGAGAAACAACAGAGATAAGCCACAATTGTCCGGTTACTATTCTCATTTTCATTTTAGATTAACTACCTAGTAAATCTTTACTCAACATCCCGCAGGAAAGAAAACAAAAAACAAACAGCCCACCCGGAGTATTCAAGGAATAACCGCAGTTATAAGTTCAGTAACTTGCTTACCAAATTCTTCCCGGCTGGTAGTGATCGGAGCCATTTTTTTGCTGCGTGGCTCTGTCCGAGGTACTGAACGGAAAACTCCCTGGCTTGGTGCACTTGCCTCGATCTGAAGCGCCGGCTTTCCCGAGTGCTGAAAACAACAGCGCAGAGCCCAGGGGATCTGCGCCTGGAACAGGGAGGAGGCAAAGAGGGAGGTCCACTCGCCCTCGCACAGTGATTTGCCACCCCTGTTCCTGTTTTGGCTCTTCTGAGAAGCTCGTCTCCGAGACTCTAGACGTGGCTGAAATCCGAATTGACGCAATCCTGACGCTAAAGGGTTGAAATCAGCCCCTGTCCCCTCCCCTTCTTTCTCCAAGCTTCTCCTCTCCCCTTCCTTCTTTCTTCCTCCCTTCTCTCCTGAGGATTCAGCACACACTCATCGATTATTTTAACTGTCGGACTACTGGATATTAGCTTCACTATATTGTGGGGGCTCAGAGACACATAGAGATGAGCCCCAAAACTCATCACTGTCAGTTTCTAAAATAAAATCTTCTGATCATCTAGATCAGTAAAAATGTGTCTGTGAGTTTTAAGAATAATGTGATTTACAGAGGCAATTTAAGGGAAGAGTAAGAAAAGAGAAATTTCTGTATCAAAAAAACCATTGTAAAATGCACGAATATATTGCTTTCTGAATTTTTCTTTGTATACCTATGTTAGAAAACAGTTAATTGAATATTAATTTGACCCATTTGAAATCAGATAAGTTTCTCATTATAATTGTCTATTTTCTAATAAATTATTAGCCTAAACGTTTTGCTGATGCTGTCCTTTCGTCTGTCAGCTCTTGTCCCTTTAATATCCGACATTCGGCCAGTTAGAGTACTTAGGAACAGATGGAAATAATCCCTTCTGTATTCAGACTCACTCTCAGTTATGATTTTTGCATATAATGAGATTGCTTCTGGAATGACATTTCTGGTTAAAAGCTTTGACTTCTAATAGGGTTGTGCAAAATAGTTACAAGATCAGACAAATATCTAAAATTATATTGATAATTACTAGTTATTTTCAAAGGAAAACGTTTTTTTTTTCTGAACTGATGGTATTCCTGGGGTTGAGGAACTGGGAAATATGGTGTCAGATTCTGATTAATTTTAATCTTAAGAGTGTGCTTTTTAAAAATCAAATGTTTAGTAATTTTCCAAAGGAGAGAACTCAGGCTGTAATGCCAACTGTCAATTATTGCTCCGCAAAGAATTCTTTTGCTCTGGAGCTCAATGAGCAAATGACATTCAATGTGTGCTGAGATGGGGAAGGAGGAGGTACTGGGTGAGTCTCAGAAAGCTACTGTACAATTGACAGGTTCCTGCACATTGGAAAGAAGAGCTCTGAGCGTCAAGACTGAGTCTGGGGAGAAAGTGGTTTCATTCAGTCTTTTGCATCATGGAAAATTTTATAAACCAAAGTCCCTTTTCTTTCCTTTGCTACTTGCTCCCACATACTTGACATTTTAACATTCTTCTAACAGATTTTTTTAAACTTCTATCTTCATGCTATTAAAACACAAGCTAATTTACTGTATTTAATTTTCCATTGACGGAATCTGTGTTTTGTATTCTTATCTTTCACTCAGATTACTCACTTCCTCAGTTATGCGTGCATCTGGTGAGATTGTCCTTAGAAATAAATACCTATTAGATGGAACACTGACATTTGCTTGTGATGTATATCAAAGGTAGACAAAATATATGGTGTGAAGTTTACTAAAGAGTGTGTTTTCTGGCTAAGTTATTGCTAACATATGGTTAAACTCATTTGTTGTAAACATAAGTACCTTATGTGTATGTTTTGTATAAACTAGTATCTCATTAATTTTACCTTCAAGTGATAAAATGCTGTCATCTAAAACCTGTCCAGATTGTTTAAACTCCATTTCTATAGACCCTATCCCACCTTAGGCTGTCTCATTTATAAGGACACATTGTGATAAAATTACCTTTTGCCCAGACTTAGTGCTATTGTGGATGTAGTAACTGTTTCATTGCTTGATTTAGAAGCAAACTAAAAATAAACATTATTAATTAAAATATCAGATGTTTCACTTTCATTTGGTGAATATTACATTTCATTCGGTGAATATCCAATCTCTTTAGACGAACTTCTAGCAGCACTAGATGAGGAGTGGGAAGCTGACCCAAGATACAGTAAAAGTCTGTAAGTTTCTTATGATTGAGATTCATACCCTACCACATTATTACATTGTTCTTTTTAGATCCAGCAAACAAGTAATCAATTTGCTTAGGAGCAATACCAGTCTTGCAGCAGAGACTTAGGAGGAGGGGTTGTTGCTAGGTAACCTCCTTTTTGCCACCCAAAACACAGCCTCAAATAAGTTCCTGCCCTGGGAAACACAGACCATTCTGTACAAGTGGCAGTGTTTACTTCAGAATGATTCCTTGACTGTTGAAATAGTTCAGCATTTACCCTACTTTATTTCCAATTCCGATAACAAAGGTCGGTACATACTTTGAGAAACAATAAACAGAACAGTTATATTCAATTTGGTTTTAATAAATACAGTTGAATTTAAAGACTATTGATTGTTTTTATCCATTCTATTCATTTTGTTTATTTTAATTTATAGTTTGATTTATAGTTTAGTTTATTCATTATATAATTTAGTCTATATTTTCTCTATTTCTTTACTTAAAAATATTATTGGTAAACATATTTATAACCTTTTGTTAGGCAAAAGAAAATTTCTAAAGGTTTGGAAATGTTACAATGATCTTCAGTAATTGATAGCAATACCCAGATTAGTAATACAAAGACATTTTACTGGTATGTGGGTGGAGTAGAACAAAGTATCTTATAATGAGTAATGGATAATGGAAAATTGTTTTAATGTTCCATATCATTCTACTAAGAATGCTGGTTTTAATGTTAATGGAATAGATTTATGCAACAAGCACATCCAAGTCAAAATCCTGTAAGACAAATGTTTTCCCAATCGCTACTGCAGAAATCCCTTCACTATGCACTATTTCTACATTTGTTTTTCTTCAATGTATTCAGCATTTCCTATGTGCCAACCTAAATTAGGCTTTAATTTCTTATGAGTGAAAAACCCATTAGTCCAAACCCAAAGAAAGCTTATAATCTCTTTTCTCTTTTATTTCTTTCAACACATTCTTATTAAACATATATTACCTCCTAGGTCTTTAGTAAGTAGGGGAGATATGTTGTTCAATATAATAAAATTTCTTATTATATTAATTTCTTATGAGTGAAAAACCCATTAGTCCAAACCCAAAGAAAGCTTATAATCTCTTTTCTCTTTTATTTCTTTCAACACATTCTTATTAAACATATATTACCTCCTAGGTCTTTAGTAAGTAGGGGAGTTATGTTGTTCAATATACTAAAAATTATCTTTGCCCTCATGGTGCTTACAGACTACAGGAGAAATGGACAGCCTTTTCTCTAGAACTGGGGGCAGAAATATTTCTTACATCATAATTACATTCATATTTCTTTAACCTGGTACTTTCTACCAAGCTTGGTCAAAACTATCCCACAGTTATCACCATCACATTTAATCTATCCTTATTGACCCTTTTCTTCATAACTGTAGATTCATCATCGCTCTTACATTCGAATTGCATTCTTCCATCTTCTATGTCTGTCCATATCTTTCCTCTCTTTTAAGAGTCAGTTAGAGTTTAATTTAGACTCTCAAGTTTCTGATTTAGCAGCACTCATGAATTTATTCAGATTTAAATTCTTGTAAACTCTCTCTAGTGAAATTCTTTAAATCAGAATGACATATTATTGGCTATATAACAATAATTCCCCAAAAGATAAACCAAAGGCCTCCACTAATGCTCACTCCAAATATTTCATAAGATTTCCATTTATTCATAATCTTAGCGCCAATTTTTTCATGACTCTTGACTTCATTTTATCTTTACATTCAAGGCCTGTATTGAAATTGTGGTCTTTGAAATGACATCTCCAATTTTTGAATCTTGATTCTTCAACAAGAATTTGTCCTAGAACCTTTCTAGAAGCTGGTCCTGTTTCAGTTTACCTTGAGGTATTTCTTGCTAGCTCCTCATAACACATTCATCTTTTCTCTTTTAATTTATTCCTAAGTGAGACTTACCTTAGCTTTCAAATAACAATAAAAATGAGATTAGTTTATGTGCATTTTGGGAAGTGTAGGAGCAGTAAAAGTATACTAAATTTTCCATCTAAAATAGTGGAGATGTAAGAAATATTTTGTTATTTAATAATTAATGAAATATATATTTATTTTTAAAATTTAAAAAACACTAGTATAATTGACAAGGAATAATGTCTAATAAATCACTGGATAATATATATTCTAACATAAAAAAGCTAAAACAAAAGTAGTAAGATGAAAATTAAAATGGTTATAAACATAATACAAAAAAAATCAAAGTAAAATGTAATTATCTAAGTAAGCATAAAAGATTTACAAACTCCGAGATAATTGGTTTCATAATGAGTTAAATACAAAATTAAAATAAAATAATGTATTATAATTGATCAAAAATATGGACATGAGAAAAGTAAAAGACATTAATAAAAGAAACTAAAGAAGGCACAAAGAAACAGAAAAATAATCCCTGTTTATGGGCTGAAAGAATCAACATAGTTAAAATGACCATATCAACCAAAGCAATATATTACCCAATGCAATCCCCATCAAAATCCCAATGGTATTTCTCAAAGAACTAGAACAACAACAACCACAAACTCCATCAGATTTGTATGAAACCACAAAAGACTTCAAATAGCCAAAGCCATCCTGAGACAAAAGAACAAAGCTGGAGACATCACACTCCTGACTTTAAATTATATTACAAAAGCAACAATTATCAAAACAGCATGATATTGGCAGAAAAAAACAGATGCACTGACCAACAGAACAGAATCGAGAGCCCAGAAATAAACCCACACATATATGGGCAAATAATTTTCAACGAAGGAGCCAAAATCATACAATGGAGAAAAGAAAGCCTCTTCAATAAATTGTGCTGGGAAAATTGGAAAACCACATGCAAAAGAGTGAAATTAGACTGCTATTTGTTACCATATACAAAATTAACTCAAAATGGATCAAAGACCTAAATATAAGATCTGAAAAAATAAAATACATAGAAGAAAACATAAGTACTAACATTATGGACCTCAGTCTCAGAGAGATTTTATGAAATTGACCTCAAAGGAAG